AGCAGGGCGCCAGGGAGGTGGCCAGGTGCGGACTCACTGCACCTTTCTGACACGTTGGCCTCTAACAAATGACAGCCTTCTCAGCGTCACCAGCGCGGGAGTCCCACGGGACATCATGGCCTCGTTCGTCCAGATGGGAGACATCCAGTCTCCCGAGTCACTTTCCCAGAATCCACACCGACTTCCCCTCCTCCCCCGCCTTTCTGTCTCGGCCCTGCTTGGCGGTTTTCTCCTGCCCCCGCTGCGGTGGGGCTGCCCCCAGGACGCCGAGCCACCTGCTGGAACCCTGCGCCTTCGGCGCCCCTGGGCCTGGCGCCAGCCCCGCTCACCTGCAGCTCTTTCTTCCCCCCTCCAGGAGGTGCCTCCCGAAGCCGTGAAGTGCATCCATCTCGGCGCCAAGACTGACGGCCCTTTGGGGTGAGGTAGTAGGTTGTATAGTTTGGGGCTCTGCCCTGCTATGGGATAACTATACAATCTACTGTCTTTCCTGAAGTGGCTGTAATAGCGGCGGTGGACGGCGTCCAGGACCCCGGCTGGGGAGGGGTGCGGGGAGCAGCCTTGGCAGGATGGGGGTAGGGGTGTCAGTGGCTGCCATGCAGGAAGTCTGCAAGGCCTAGGTTCCGCTCGCTGTGTGACCTTGGGCAGGTCCTTGGACCTCTCTGGTCTTCAGTGTCCTCATCTGTAACACTGGGGCAAATGAGGATTGGAGGCACTGGGTGAAGGCCCCAGACCGGGCCGGGGCTCAGAGATGCCCTTCCCTCCCTCCACACCGCCCCGAGAGCCGGTGGACCTGGGGGGACAGTCTGCAATCCTCCCTCCCTGTCCCTGGTGTCAGGCTCCTGGGCGCCAGGAGGAGGAGTGTGGGCCCGAGGATGGTGGGGTCAGCTGAGCCTGTGCGGGGGTTGCGGGGCAGCACCCCAGGGAGACCCACGGGGCCTACCCCAGTCAGCACCGCCACCCCTACGTCCCCTAGCCCGCCCTGCCCAGTGCCGGGCTCTGGTGAGAGGCAGCACCTCTGTCCTGGGGGGAGGGAGGGAGGCCAGGGCTCCATTCCTGGTCACCGGCCTTTCCCAGCAGTACGAGAGAGGGGTGTCCTCAGGGCACACCACAGCCTCTTGGGCACAAGCCTGCCCTCTGCCCACCGCCGCAGGTGGATGGCGTGGGCCGCCCTGTGCATGGGGAGACCAAAGCGCCGTCCGCATGTCCCTCCCGCCCCGCGCCGGCCCAGCCCTCCAGCGCTGGTGTCCATGGACCCGGGACCGGCATGGCGCGGTGGCGTGGACGGCAGGCCCTCCCACACCCGGGGGCTGGCGGGGTGAGGTAGTAGGTTGTGTGGTTTCAGGGCAGTGATGTTGCCCCCTAGGAAGATAACTATACAACCTACTGCCTTCCCCGAGGAGCCCAGTGACACGTCCCCACGGGAGGGCCTGACCCATGCTCGGCGGGTGACGTGGACCGGGTGGGAGGCCACGGTGTGCACAACTGGACATCAATAAAGGCTGTTCTGACGTGAACTTGGAGTTGGCCCTGTTTATTCTGGAAGCCCAGGGCTGGGCGATGGAGGACTTGGACCTCTCTGCAGTGCTTGGAGCTCATCTGCCTTAGGGGAGGGAGCGTGTGCCATGTCCAGGCTGTTGGGAGTCACCAAGCTTGCCTGCCTGTGCTCCGGGCCCACCCATCCCGGCAGCCTTCAGGTGGGTTCAATCTTGGACCCCGGACCCCAGCCCATTCTTCACCCCATTCATGGCCCCTTTGAGCTCAGGGCTATGGGCCCCAGGCACCAGAGGTGTCACTCAGCCCCAGCCTGGTGGAGCAAACCCCACAGGGCAGTCCCCTTGCAGGTGGCCTGGGCCCAGTCTGCAGCTCCAAGCTCGGTCCAGGGCCTGGCCCCCGAGCACCTCAGCACTTGGAGCTTGACCGGAAACGAAGGTCCCGTCCTCCCGTGCCCAGCCCCATCGGGACAGTCTCTGAGGCAGCCTTTATTTCGGGTGTTCATCTAGGTCTGACTGCCATCCAGATAGTCACCCATGTTTCTCCCGGAGGCCTTGGGCCCCCATGCTGGTGGCTGCTGCGGGCCTGTCCACATCATCTTAGCCTGGGCGTTAGAAGTTTTTTTTTCCTGCCCTGCCACCTGAGAACCCCCCTCAGGCCACACCCTGCCTGTGCCTGTGGTGCCCACACAGACCTTGATTAGGTACCACCTCCCCCAGCAGGGGCCAGCCCCCCAAGTCACCCCAGACCCTCTGTGCAAAAGACACACTAGACAACCTCATGGGCACACAGAACTGGACACCACTGCAGTCCCCCAGTGCTCCCGGCCTGACAGGAGAAGAGACGGGACATATACAGTCCTCAGGGACCTGGGACAGGGGACCAGAGGAGGCCCCTGACCCAGCCAGGGGTATGGAGGGGCCCCGTGAGGAGGGGCCCGCTGAGCCCGGTACCTCTTGGCCACGTGCGCAGGAGCCCCAGGCCTTGGCTGGGCCTTCTTCCCAGTGTCCTGGCCGCTCCCACCATGGTGACTGTCCACAAGCCACCATCTCGGCCTCGGCCTCCGTCCTGAGCCTCCTGGTCGCCTGCCTGGGTTCTGTAAGCCCCCACCCCAGCCCCGTGTGGCCATGCCCGGGCAGACCAGCCGCCCACCCCCACTCCCATCAGCCCTGTTCTCACGTGGGGCTGCCTGCCTTCGAGGAGCTCCCACTCCGTGCTCAGGGCTGTGGGAGCACAGGGCGGGGCCTCCCAGTTGGGGCTGCCCGAGCTGGAGCTTGGCGGCTGTGCTGGGGTTTGCAGCTGGACACAGGCGAGGCCTTCCCAGTGGAGCGCCCATCATCCTCTCTCCCATTGTCTTCTGGGGCCAGGGCTGGGGACACACTTGGGTACCGTCCACCTCCCCTTCCTCACCTGGTGGTCGGTGGCAGTCCGGTCACTTCTGTCCCCTGAACATCATGTCCATCCTTCCACTCTCCACCCTCCCCCTGTGTTCCCCCTCCCCTCCTTCCCGCCCACCAACTCCCAGCCTCTCCTCTGCCAACGGGCCGTCTCTAGAGATGGGGGTGTTGGAAGCTGCTCAAAAGGTGGGCCTGAGAGGTGTGGGGGCCAGGGGCTACCCGCCAGCCAGCCACCGGCCACACATGAAAGCAGTTTAGTCTTGAAACAACCTGGAAGAAGGTGTCGGTGTGGCCGAAGCAGCTAGCTTGGTTTTGCCCCGTCACCCGGCACTGGGAGGCCCTGCGGGGTGGTGGGAAGGGCCCCAGGTTCTGCGGCAAAGGCCAAGGGCAGTCGCCTCACGCACCAAGCCTCAATTTCCCCATCCCATTTTGCGGGGTGCTGTGAGGATTGCAGGAGGTGGGCTCAGGGCGGGAGCCGGAGATTGGCAGGGGAGTGGGTGGGCCAGTCAGGAGCTCTGATCCACAGCTGGGCGCCTGGCGCCACCTGCTGCCAGGTTCGGGGAGTGGCTCCTGGCTGGGTTCAGGTGAGGCTGGGTGGAGCACAAGCTGCCCCCAACCCCCACGGGGGAGAACCAGGGACCCAGCCCTCGGAGGTGGCCCCTGTGTCTCCAGACATGTAGAAGATCCCTCTCAGCCAAGGTGCGATTCTTCTACGGGAGCGAGGCCTGCATGTCCCTGTTCTTCCTGGGAGGTGACTCATGGGAGACCTGAAAGGCTTCTGGGGTGTTCAGGGTGGGCCCCTCGAGAGGCCCATGGGCCCTAGGTCCACAAGGGCCACCCCCAGGAAGGACTGCCAAGCTGGTCTGGCATTTATTTCCACCCTGCAGCCCAAAGCTGAGCCAGGGCCCCATGGCACCAAGGGACAGGCTGTCACCCAGCACCAGGACTTGGGTGGGTGGTAAAGGCCTTCTCGAGGGCACGGGGCAGGGCCGGCATGTCCGTCAGCACAGTGGGCGCAGAGCCAAGGCCCACACATTGTTAGGGGCCCACAAAGTGCTTCCATTTCAATTCCTTTCAAAATCTAAAGGGAAAATGACCATAACAATATTGAATAAATGTAGTAATGAATATCTGTGTAATGTACCGTGCACAGTGAGTTATATAATAATACATAGTATGCCGCATATGACATCATGTGGAGGGAGGACGGGGGGCAGGAGGAGCCAGTGTCCATCTTCCTCTGAGGGGTTTGTGAGGATTATATTTGTCTTTATCCCACTCCGTTACAAAATACACTGTGCGATCTGCTTTATGGAGAAAGGACCTGTGGCGTCAGCCTGGGCCCCACCTGTGAGCACAGCCACCGCCTCGCCCAGGCTCCCCGTCTCCGCGGTTTCGTGCTGTCATTCCCCCATAGTCGTCCCTTCTTCCCCGCCAACCAGAGGGAGGCCTGGGCCTCGCCAGCTGGGCGCCCCGCCATCAGGCTGTGCATTTCCCAACAGCGACACCTTGTGGCGGTAGGAGGAGGTGGTGGCGGGAGGCGGTGGTGGCAGGAGGCGGTGGCAGCTGTGAGCTGTGAGCTGTGAGCTGTGAGCCACCAAGCCCTGCCCAAACCTCTCCACAGACCTGGGGGAACTCTGGGGAAGGGGTCACCCCTCCTGGACCTGAAACCTCAGGGTCAGAGTCAACCCAGGGACGCTTCCTGCTCCTCCAGAGAGTGGAGCCTGAGCCGCGGTCTGTTACAACCGAGGCCACGCCCCTGTGTACAGCCTGCGTGCTGGGGCCGCCCTGCCGCGGTCCCTCTGACCCGCAGTAAGCTGTCAGCACCGCTGCCCCACATGACACCCTCTCCTCGTGGCCACCGCAGCAAACCTGTGAGCCCAAGGAGCTACCTGGAGTGTGGACCCACAGCTGTCCCCAGGGAGGGAGAATGTCCCCAAGCTGGGAGGATGGGGCACTGGGTTGTCTGGAGGCCCGGCCAGGGGGGTGGCCCAGGCAGAGGAGCCCGAGCAGGAAGCAGGGCTGCAGTGCGGGCCTCCGAGCCGGGGCTCAGAGGGCGGGCTCCAGGGGTAAGAGCAGGGCCTGAGTCTCTCTCTTGCTGTCATGCCCATGGCCCCTGGCAGAGACTTAATGCCCACCTAGCGTCATTTATCAGAGATGGGCCTCCTTGACGTTGACGCATCCTGGAGCAGGCGGGGTCTGCGTGGCCGGAGTGGGCTGGGGGCCTGGGGGAGTCCCCACGTCAGCAGGGTCAACGCGCTGAGCTTAGCCTCGCTCTCTCTGGCATGGGGGAGGGGTGGCCCCAGCCAGGGTACGCATGTCAGACCCTGGACAGCTAGAGGGCTCGGATGGGCCAGGAGGGGCGGCCCTCAGGCCCGGCTTGCTCAAGGGGCTCCGGGACCACCAGGGCTCCAGCTGTTTTTGAGCTCGAGGCCACCCTCCTGCCCATGCCCTGCCTGGTGGCCTCTTCGCTGTACACGTGATGCCAGCCAGTCCCTCTGTCCCCCTTCATCCCAAGGCTCCCCAGGCCTCCTGGGCTACCCAGTGCCAAAGCCGGGCCTAGAACCCCCAGCTGCTGAGTTTCCATGGCGGCCAAGTCTCTCTGGAAGGAGTGACTTCTCCAGGGACAATGTGGAGGCTTCAGGACTCCGGTGTACACTGTGGCGAGTCAGCCCTTACTGGTGATGCCATGTGCCAGAATGGGATCTCCCTTTCTTAGGACAATCCCGGAGGGGCTGCTGTCCTGAGCCCGTTTCATGGATGTGGACACCGAGGCTCAGAGAGACACAGTGACCTTCCCACAGCCCAGGGCAGGTCCGGGCAGGGCTAGAATGGCAGCCTGTGGCTGTCCTGCCTCCCCTGGTTGCCGGGAGTTGGGGGGAGGGTTCTGCAGAGGATGGATGGGGCGGAGCTGCAGGGTCCCTTCTCTATGGCCAAGAAACCTGGCCAGGCCCAGGGCCCTCCCAGGGGCCCCGGCCACCAGCCTTGCACCTGAGGGTCCGCCTTAGCAAGAAAAAAATGGCTGCCTACACGCTACCTGTCTAGGCCCCCCAGAAGAGCAACCTGACCTTGGCTCAAAGGCGGTGAAACCTGTCTCTGGTGAACCTGAATCTCAACCCTGACATGCGGGCCAGACGCGGTGAGCAGGAAGTGCTGACCCGCTGTGCAATATGGGACTCAAACAGAAAAGGCGCCTGTGCTGGAGAAGGCCTCGCACGCCGCCTCCCTCCCCGACACCCTGGGACCTCCTGGGCCTCCCTGGGCCTCAGCCTCCTCGCTGTGCCCTTTTCCTGGGTCATCCCTAAGAAGTCCAGGGCACTCGGCACCCACATAAACCTGTTCTGTCCCAGGACACACGGCAGGGAGGCCCAGGCAGCTGGCCCGTGGGGCTGGGAGGTCGAGGCCCCAGGCAGCAGCTGGGGGCAGCACGTGAAGGCCTGGGGTGGGTGGAGGGGCAGGGCGAGGGGGAGAAAAAGGGGGAGAAGCCCAGGGAGGAAAGGGGAGGAGCGAGAAAAGCCACCTGCAGCAAGGAGGGCCCTGTGCAGAAGGAGGGAGGACGGGGGGCAGGAGGAGCCGGTGTCCATCTTCCTCTCAGGGGCTTGTGAGGACAAGGAAGGCCCATGGCA